CGGATCTTTCCGCCTCCAGCCCGGCGAGCGCCTCTACCTAGAGGGCTTTTATTCCAAGGTCCGAGACGGATCTTGTCGCCTCCAGCCCGGTGAGCGCCTCTCCCTGGGGAAAGAATTTCCTTCGCCTCGAGACGGATCTTCCACGAAAATCTCGAGACGGATCTTGTCGCCTCCAGACCATCCCTGGGGTGGAATTATTTTTTTCTCTCCCGCCTCCAGACCATCCCTAGAAAATTATTTGTTCGCATGGACCGAAGCGTTTGAGCGGATCGTGCATGGACCGAAGTGTTTGAGTGGATCGAGCATGGGACGAAGCGCCTGCGCCGTTGCCATGCAGCACGCATTGACCGAGAGCCTGCTGGTCACCATGGAGGAGTGGGCAGCCAAGCAGCCTGCCGCCCTTCCGGATGCGCTGGAAGCGGTGGAGCGCATCTCCGAGCTGCTGGATCTGAGCGGCTTGTTCTCGGCGCTGCTGCTACACCCTCGCAGAGACAGGAAGAGCCTGTCCTACACGGGCGGCATCCGAGTCAGCGGACTTGACTTCGGATACCCTTGCCCCTACGGCGCTTTGGAGTCCTACCTCACGAAGGACGGCTGCCGCGTGATGACCAGAGATCCCGGAGACGATCTTTGGGCGCCGACGTTCGACTGGCTGGCTCCCGAGCCCTCGCTTGGGCACCTCAACGCCGACACCAAGGGCGATTTCCTGGAGCTGACCCTGGCCGCGGCTGCGCAGGTGCTGGATTGCGCTGAGAAGCCTTGCAGCGAGCCGCTGATGCGCTGCCTGCACGCCGCGCGGCTGCTGATCGAAGATGCCGCGCGCGCTTTGGAGGAGCTGCAGCTGTGGGGCAACCCGCTCCTGCTGAGAGTGACGCGGGAGATAGATGGGTGCCGCGTCAGCTGCAAGTCCTGCCCAAAGTGTGGAGGCGCAGTCTTCGGGCAGTGGCGCTATGCCACGTGGGGCGGCTTATTGGCCGCCGTCGGAGCGCATGCCTGCTAAGAAAAAAAATGAGCTCGTTAGGGTCAGTGTTAAAAAATCTTATGAGAAATGCTCCTCGCCTCAGTCCGGGATGCTCAGCCGATCCGCAAGCTCTGCCGTGGCCGCGCTTGCAATCTCCTCGCGCAGCGCCGTAGGAATGCTAAAGCAGCTCGGCTCGGCCTCCGGTCTGCTTCCTGTACGGTCCCGTACTTGCAGTAGGTAACGTCCACCCAGGGTAGGCGCTCCATGAACGGGCGGGCCCGGTGGCCGGATTCTCTATGACCCACATGAGCGGGTCGAAGTGCGCCATGATCTCAAGGGCTCTGAGCACCAGCGCGTCGCCCTCCTCGAGTCGTCGAGGGCGCATCGTCAGAGCTCGGCTGTACTCCGTGCAGACCGGGCTGGCCCAGACCATGTCAAAGTGCCCCGGTGGAAACAGCGTGTAGTCCCAGCTCCGGATGTCGCACAGGATCGTGGGCTCAAATTTCGACACGATGTCCAGGGAGACGACCTCCCACCCCGCCGCCTCGACGGCTCGGCCAATCGACTTTGTGCCGCAAAACAGCTCCAGCAGTCTCGGCATGTTTAACAATTACCACCAGCACAACAAAGCACGCACAGGCGAGGGCGCGGCTCAAGCAGTTTCGCATGCTCGGACCAATCTTTTTTTAATCGGAGACAGAAAAGGATGACGAGCCAGGCTAGCATGTGGAAGTTGGGCGAGGTGCGCTCCAATGCTAAGGGTGGCACATTCTTGTGCATGGAGCCTCTGTTTTGGCAGAGCGAAGCTTCGCTGGAAATCCCATGGGAGCCCAGGGCCTTCTCCGAGGGGCAGCGCCCCAGCGTGAGCTTCGCAACCGATGAGCGCGCGAGGCGCTTCTGGGAGCGGGCCGAGACCGATCTGGTCGAGCAGCTGGCGGCCGCATCCGAGCGCGTCTTCGACGCAAAGCTCACGCCCGAGGCTGTGCGCCAGCGTCTGCTGCCCTCTGTGAGGCAATCGCGCGGCGGCGATTGGATGCTGAAAGCCAAGCTGCCGGCCCACGCGCGCTTCTGGAACGCCGGCGGCACGTTTGCGGACCGCCCCGCTGAGCTGGCTCACTGCGCCGCGCGCGTTAGGCTGAGAGCGCGCAGCTTGTGGCTGATGAGCGGCATGTGCGGGTTGAGTCTTGAGGTCACAGATCTGCGCGTGGAGCTGTAGTTTCTTCCGATGCCGCAGGTTTCAGCGCTTTTTGCACCAAAAACGGAGCGGTGACAAAGACCGGTGACATCGGAAAAACGTTCAGCTGGTTGAAGAATTTGGCTGTTTTGCAGGGTTTTTGGACCAAAAAACCAAATGAATTAGGGTGGTATAAGCTGCCTTTCCTTACTACTGTAGCCATCATGCGCTAACCAAAAAAGTGGCCGCGCGGCGGGCATGAAGAAGGTTTCCAAGCCCTGGGGGTGCCGGCCAACGTGTACTCCGACGACAGCTCCAAGTTTAAGAGGGAGTTCAAGCTGCTGGATTTCTGGGACATCGAGAAGCAGGTCTGCCCGCTGTGCGCGCGTGGCGGGTTGA